TGTACTGACGGGTGGATCTGGTTATATCAGTGGCGGATCAGGGTTCAGTTCTGTTGGAGGCGGTGGATCCAGGGGAGGCGGTGGTGGGACTCCTTATGGAATTAGTGGTGGATCAACTGTTTACAGCAACGGGCGCGTGATTGGAATGAGTGGCAGCGGGAGTGGTAAGATCCAGAAGGTTTTGACCGACCGAATGAAATCAAATAAAAACATACCATAAATGGACCTTGTGTCTACATTAATAATTTAAGAATATATGACGCTGAATGCATATCTTTGATTTTTTTTGCTTTACAAAGCAGCGTTCTGTCCTCTCTCTTTTTTGGTTTATTTTGTTTTACGTTGTACAGTACTGTCCTCTTTTTTTCGGTTTATTTTGTTTTACACTGTAGCGTACTGTCCTCCGATGAGACATGACTGTCATCCATCTTGTATCAAGTATGACGATCCCCATTGTAGACGGTGTTTATGTTAAAGGTACACTGTAGCGTATTGTCCATTTTTTGGTTTATTTTGTTTCACATTGTAGCGTATTGTTCTCTTTATTTGTTTTACTTTGTTTTACATTGTAGCATATTGTCCTCCGATGAGACATGACTGTCATCCATCTTGTATCAAGTATGACGATCCCCATTGTAGGTGGTGTTTTATGTTAAAGGTAATAACGTGTGTAGGCGGTGCTTATTTAGGTAGGCTGGAAATCTCACATTCAGTCGCCTATAATGTTAAGGACTGATCCCTCTGATGTTTCGGAGATCCTTGTTTGCTCTGCTCCTTTTTGTATTGTTTTATGGATATCGATATCCTTCATACAAAAAAACATATATTTGTTTGAAAACAGAAATGTACTTAACTCTGTCACTGGAAAAAGCAAAAATTTGCAAAATTATTAACAAGATTATACCGTATGAACAGATTTTTTAGCGAAAATTTTATTTGTACATCATAAGCGAGGGTGCCAGGATCGCTAAAATTTAATATCGCTAAAATTAATTGCACCTTTTTGTAATTCCTTCTTTATAAAGCTTTTTAAAATCGCTAAAAGCACATTTCGCTAAAAATAAAATATCAAATTTTAAGGACAAATCGCTAAATTTGTATCTCGCTAAAATTTCAAGTTATACGATATTCATGTATATATTTTGAATCTTTAATTCCTTTAACTTTTCATCTAACTTTTAATTAAATTTTCAAAATATCGATGCTCCTGGATTATTACTTTTTTTCTGTCAAGAAATTGGAATGACTTTCCGGTCATCGATGTTCCTTACGATAAAAGAAACTATAGCTTATGGGATTATTACTTTTTTTCTGTCAAGAAATTGGAATGACTTTCCGGTCATCGATGTTCCTTACGATAAAAGAAACTATAGCTTATGGGATAAAGCTTTTTTTCAATCCGTAATTTGAAGTTTCATACGACATAATATTATAAGAACTTTCAATGAGTCCTGTATACAGTGGTTAACTATTTAATAATGCTTAGATTTGTAGCAAAATTTATGACTGAGTAAGACAATGCATTTTTCGGTGATTTTTTCAGAGAAAGAAGAAGAAGACAATGAACAACAAATTTAATGGTTCCAAAGATTTAAAATCTGTTTTTTTTTCCTGAATAAATCCACCGTATCTTCTCCAATTCATCTTATAATATGTTTTTATGTTCTGAGTTAGTTAATCAAATATATGCTTCAAATATTTTTTTAATAAACTTATTCAAAGTGTAATGGTCATTATGATTTACATTTTACCACTATATGCCGGGTAGAACATCATTGTAAGAATTACTGACTTATATTCACTTATAAACAGTTGTAAAGTTTTAAGTTGATTTTTATCAAATTTTGCATGAAAACTATGCCTAACGTTTAAACGTTTAAAATTGACATTTAGACTTTTTGCAGCATTATCAAACTTATTAAAAGTCGAAATTCAATACTCATGAAAAAGAAAAAAAATACTCTGAAGAGATTTACACAGAGTGGATACATTTGCTCTAATATGGTAGGTAAACTAAATAGGCGTCAATTGATTGTTTGAAATCTAATGCCAAAAAACTAGTAAAACTGTTTTAAATAAATAATATACCCAACCCAAAAAACCAAAGAATTTTACAAAGAGGTTTTCACATTACAAAATTATCGTTCATCAAACACAGTTGACAAGAAATGTGAGTTCGCTTTGCAATTAGGAATCCAGTGTTCGAATGTTATACCGTGTCCTAACATAAATTATAAGCAAAAATAGTGATTGTTCCTTTGCTAAGCGCCCGACATTATAACTTAAGGAAATGAGTCAGTCGGACCTCAAAAACCGATAACCTGAGCCGCATCAGGTGGTGGCAAGATAACCATCCCTCACAGCTCAAGAGCTCTGTGTGCAGAAAATTAGTCCAAAATATCTGACGTTTTTCAGGTGTTTTTCTACATTTTGATATTTGAGATGCAACAAAAACTTCAAATTATAAACCGAAGCAATAATGAAGTAGTGGAAATTCACCTCTCCCAACCTGAGACGCCTTTGTGTTCCTTATTTATATAAAGTTTCTGGTAAAAACAAAATATCGAGGAATGTTTTGATTTTGTGTAACTAGAATTTTGAGATTTGTAACGAAAAATTGAGTGATATTTTCTTTAAAGCAATAATTGTGGGAATTAGTAGTTTGATTTGTGCTTTTTAAAAGTTGTGAATTTTTCAATTAATCTGACTTGCTAGTCTCAAGCAAAGTTAAGGGCGGCGAAAGTTTCATTTCTCATAATGACACCGGTTCTCTAGAGATGCGCAATGTGGTACCGTGAGCTTAAGAAAAATAAGTGTAGAGCTGACACATCTGTTTCCTATATATGTAATTTACTTGAAGAAAAAAAACGTTAATGGTAATCCGACAACCAAAATCTATGATAACATGCTGGCTTTCACTTTACAATCGCCAACTTTCTTTACTTATACAGCAATATACCTTCATCACCTGCATACGGAGAGTATATTTCTCAGTTTATTGGATATGCAAGAGCATGCTCTATGCATAAATAGTTTCTAAAACGAGGTAAATTGTTGACAAACAAGTTGATGAAACAAGAATATCAAGAGTCTCGTTTATTAAAGTCATTGTTCACTGTTATATTTATTTGTTTAAAACATTCAGTATACATGTAATGCGCCTCGCGATCGGTTGACAATGGTTTTCTTGGGGTGAAAATTTTCAATTTTACACTCAACTACATGTTATATTTATATAAAAGTCTTTAATGAGATAAACCTTTCCTTATATATTCTCTTCTAAATTAAACACATAAATACTGTAGATACTTTTTTCCGCGTGGTATTAATTTACGCTATGTACGTGGTCACAAATTTTCCGCGGAAATTTGTCCAAGCGAACTTAATATAAATGTAAGATATATAATGACAGTTTAAGAAATCCGCGTAATTTTCTACCAGCGAATTAAACAGAAATTGAAATTCCGCAGAATTATGACCCCGTGGAAAAAAAGTACGTCTACATATCAGCATGAGTTTGTGAAATGGCAGTCTATATAACCTGAATAAAGGGTTTTTTGTTGCCTAGGTTTTTTTTTTTTATCGCTATCCATTGACTTCTAGAGTGAAAACGCAAGTTTTACCAAAACCATGCATTTATCTCTCTTTGTTTTCATAAATAAGTGATGTTTTTCAATGAAAATCCATAAAAATATCGATATAAATATTAAGAATAACTGGTGTCTGTTAACTTTTGAGAATTTCCCTGGAGGTAGGCGGCGGGAGAACATTTACAGTTCTTTCCCATATTTATATAAAGGCAAAATACGACACGAAATCAATAAAAATATTCAGACGATACCAAAAATTAAACATTAAAAACATTAATAAACTACACATTCAATCGTTCAAAGAATATCTTGAGAAAAAGTTAAAACCACATATATATGCAAAATCAACATATTTTTCCATTACTCTGATGAAAATTTCATATTTTCACAAAGAAAACAATTGTAACACAACTATGAATAAAAACATATAGGGCAATTAATTCATAAAACAAACTAAATCCCTTTCATGCATATAACACTTCAAATAATAACGAAATAAAATTATAAAATAAATGACACACTCTTCACATTCAAGCTTCTAAATTAAGTATTTGAATATACAACGATAATTTAGCTCTAATTGCATTCAACATATCATTGGAACTATAAATGTAAAGTCGATTTATTTTAACTTTCTTGTTTACATAAACAAATGAAATCTAAGTTAATATCATTCAAAAATTGTACAGCATTATAAATTAAAAAAAGATTTGCAAGAGAATGATTTTTACAGATCATTTTTCAATCATTGGTTACAAGACATCTTTTTTTTTTTAAAGCGTAGCACTTTATTTTCATAACATTTTTCAAGTCTCCTACGATTTTGAATTCTTTTAGAAAGCATAATGATGACAGATCTGGTACTGACTCATTTGAAGAACCTGCGAACATTTTACAATTCCAATCCCATATTTGTATAAAAAAAGATCTATGTTGTACGTAAAACAAAGTAATATATTAAAAGGTAAAGATAATAAACGTTGATCAATCTAAAAATGAAACTACGTAAAAAATCTAATAAGACTCTTTGGATCTAAATAATACACTAAACATTAAAAAGATTTCCAGGGATTCTAGAGTGTAAAAATAAAGCTACATACAAATTGTCAATATTTCAAACTTTTTCATTTTCCTTGACATCTGGTCCTACCTTAAAAGATTTCAGGTATTTTTACTCGTGAAATGTTGTCGATTTTGTACGACGTAAAATGGATTTTGTATGTAAATGGATTTCAATGGATTTCATAAAGTTGATCACTGTTCGCCATCTTCAAAATATATTTTTCTTATTTTTTCATGCATGGATACAAGGGGAAATCACATTTTAATGTAAGTGTTATTAATTTTAACCTTTTTATTTAATGTTTAAAAGTTCATTTCATTAAATGTTTCTCAGCATTTCTTTCATGAAAATACAGAATATTGATGAAGAATTAAGAAGGTTCCTAATAGCGGCGTTCTCTCAAAATATGAATCAGGTCTATGTCACCTTGTTCAGCGGCAATATCTATCACTGATTTACCTCGATTATCTTTTACTGCTAACAAGTCTTGGTGATTTGTTGATAAAAACCTACAAACATCATGTTTACCATTTAGACAAGCAATATGCAATATACTTTCACCAACATTTGACAAAACATTGATGTCCAATCCTTTTTTCAATAGAAAACAAACTATATCTAAACTTCCACAACTACAAGCTGAATGTAACACTGTCCATCCTTTATTGTCCCTGATCTTTATTAACTCTGAAAACTTATTGACCAGAAACTCACACATCTCTATTTTACCAGAGCGACAGCATTGATGTAAAATAGTTTCACCGTCTTCCTGTCGGGTAAAAATGTTCATTTTTTTCTCAATTAATAATTCTACTATTTGAACATTGCCTCCCTGTGCTGCATCATGCAACACTGAGTTACTAGATTTGTCCCTAATATTTAATAGATGGGGATGATTCTTCACTAAGTACTCACAAATTTCAAATTTCCCTTTGAGACAAGCTCTATGAAGAATACTTTTACTATCATTTGACAAAGCATTGATGTCTAATCCTTTATTAAATAGGAAAGACACAATTTCAACAATTCCACTACAACAAGCTGAATGTAACACTGTCCATCCGTCATTGTTCCTTATCTGCAGTAAGTCTGGAAAATGACTGACCAAATACTCACACATCTCCTTTTTACCAGAACAACAGCATCGATGTAAAATTGTTTCACAATTGTTTCCACCTTCCTGTAGGTCACTGATGACCATCTTTTTCTCAATCAGTAGTTTTACTATTTGAACATTGCCTCCCCAGGCTGCATCATGCAACACTGTATTACTAAATTTGTCTTTGATATCTAACAGACGGGGATAATTCTCAACTAAGTACTCACAAACTTCAAATTTCCCATTGAGACAAGCTCTATGCAGAATACTTTTGCCATCATTTGACACGGCATTTAGGTCCACTCCATTTTCTATCAGAAAAATCACAATTTCTACATTTCCTCCATAACAGGATGAATGTAACACTGTCCATCCCTTATTGTACCTTATCTCCAATAAATCTGAAAAATGTTTTACCAAATACTCAAACATCTCTTTTTTACCAGAACGACAGCATTGATGTAAAATTGTTTCACCACCTCCCTGTACAGAATAGATGTCCATTTTTTTCTCAATCAGTAGTTTTACTATTTGAACATTCCCTCCCCAAGCCGCGTCATGCAACACTGTGTTTCTACATTTGTCTATGACATATAATAGATGGGGATAATTCTCAACTAAGTACTCACAAACTTCAAACTTCCCATTGAGACAAGCTATATGCAAGATAGTTTTACCATCATTTGACAAGGCATTGAAATCCATCCCTTTTTCTATAAGAAGAGAAACAATTTCAAAACTCCCTCCCCTCCAAGCTGAATGTAACACTGTCCATCCTCTAATGTCCCTTATCTCCAATAAATCTGGAAAATGATTGACCAAATGTTGACACATCTCCATTTTACCAGAAAGACAGCAAAGATGTAAAATTGTTTCACCACCTCCATGTAGGGAATTGATGTCCATCTTTTTCTCAATCAATAGTTTTACTATTTGAACATTGCCTCCCCAGGCTGCATCATGCAACACTGTCTCACTAGATTTGTCCCTTATATTTAATAGATGGGGATAATTCTCAACTAAGTACACACAAACTTCAAACTTCCCATTGAGACAAGCTCTATGCAGAATATTTTTACCATCATTTGACAAGGTATTAACGTCCATTCCTTTTTCTATAAGAAAAGATACAATATTTTCACTTCCTCCCCAACAAGCTGAATGTAACGCTGTCCATCCGTTATTGTCCCTTATCTCCAATAACTCTGGAAAATGATTGACCAAATGTTCACACATCTCCATTTTACCAGAACGACAGCATTGATGTAAAATTGTTTCACCACCTCCCTGTACAGAATTGATGTCCATCTTTTTCTCAATCAATAGTTTTACTATTTGAACATTGCCTCCCCAGGCTGCATCATGCAACACTGAGTGACTAGATTTGTCTTTGACATATAACAGATGGGGATAATTCTCAACTAAGTACACACAAACTTCAAACTTCCCATTGAGACAAGCTACATGCAAGATAGTTTTACCATCATTTGACAAGGCATTGAAATCCATCCCTTTTTCTATAAGAAAAGAAACAATTTCAACACTTCCTCCCCTGCAAGCTGAATGTAACGCTGTCCACCCGTCATTGTCCCTTATCTCCAATAAATCTGGAAAATGATTGACCAAATGTTGACACATCTCCATTTTACTAGAACGACAGCAAAGATGTAAAATTGTTTCACCACCTCCATGTAGGGAATTGATGTCCATCTTTTTCTCAATCAATAGTTTTACTATTTGAACATTGCCTCCCCAGGCTGCATAATGCAACACTGTCTCACTAGATTTATCTTTTAAGTCTAATAGATCGGGATAATTCTCAACTAAGTACACACAAACTTCAAACTTCCTATTGAGACAAGCTACATGCAAGATAGTTTTACCATCATCTGACAAGGCATTGAAATCCATCCCTTTTTTTATAAGAAAAGAAACAATTTCAACACTTCCTCCCCTGCAAGCTGAATGTAACGCTGTCCATCCGTCATTGTCCCTTATCTCCAATAAATCTGGAAAATGATTGACCAAATGTTCACACATTTCCATTTTCCCAGAACGACAGCAAAGATGTAAAATTGTTTCACCACCTCCATGTAGGGAATTGATGTCCATCTTTTTCTCAATCAATAGTTTTACTATTTGAACATTGCCTCCCCAGGCTGCATCATGCAACACTGTCTCACTAGATTTATCTTTAAAGTCTAATAGATCGGGATAATTCTCAACTAAGTACACACAAATTTCAAACTTCCCATTCAGACAAGCTACATGCAAGATAGTTTTACCATCATTTGACAAGGCATTGAAATCCATCCCTTTTCCGCAAAGAAAGGAAACAATTTCAACACGTCCTCCCCTGCAAGCTGAATGTAACGCTCTCCAACCGTAACTGTCTCTTATCTCCAATAAATCTGGAAAATGATTGACCAAATGTTGACACATCTCCATTTTACCAGAACGACAGCACTGATGTAAAATTGTTTCACCACCTTCCTGTAGGACATTGATGTCCATCTTTTTCTCAATCAATAATTTTACTATTTGAACATTGCCTCCCCAGGCTGCAGCATGCAACACTGTATTACTAGACTTATCTTTGACGTCTAATAGATCGGGATAATTCTCAACTAAGTACACACAAACTTCAAACTTCCCATTGAGACAAGCTACATGCAAGATAGTTTTACCACCATTTGACAAGGCATTGAAATCCATCCCTTTTTCTATTAGAAAAGAAACAATTTCAACACTTCCCCCCGTGCAAGCTGAATGTAACACTGTCCACCCCTTAGGGTCCCTTATCTCCAATAAATCTGGAAAATGATTGACCAAATACTCACACATCTCCATTTTACTAGAACGACAGCACAGATGTAAAATTGTTTCACCACCTTCCTGTAGGGCATTGATGTCCATCTTTTTCTCAATCAATAGTTTTACTATTTGAACATTGCCTTCCCAGGCTGCATCATGCAACACTGTATTACTAGATTTGTCTTTGACATCTAATAGATGGGGATAATTCTCAACTAAGTACACACAAATTTCAAACTTCCCATTGAGACAAGCTACATGCAAGATAGTTTTACCATCATTTGACAAGGCATTGAAATCCATCCCTTTTCCGCAAAGAAAGGAAACAATTTCAACACTTCCTCCCCTGCAAGCTGAATGTAACGCTGTCCACCCCTTAGTGTCCCTTATCTCCAATAAATCTGGAAAATGATTGACCAAATGTTGACACATCTCCATTTTACCAGAACGACAGCACTGATGTAAAATTGTTTCACCACCTTCCTGTAGGACTTTGATGTCCATCTTTTTTTCAATCAACAGGTTTACTATTTGAACATTGCCTCCCCAGGCTGCATCATGCAACACTGAGTTACCAGATCTATCTTTTAAGTCTAATAGATCGGGATAATTCTCAACTAAGTACACACAAACTTCAAACTTCCCATTGAGACAAGCTACATGCAAGATAGTTTTACCATCATTTGACAAGGCATTGAAATCCATCCCTTTTTCTATAAGAAAAGAAACAATTTCAACACTTCCTCCCCTGCAAGCTGAATGTAACGCTGTCCATCCGTCATTGTCTCTTATCTCCAATAAATCTGGAAAATGATTGACCAAATACTCACACATCTCCATTTTACTAGAACGACAGCACTGATGTAAAATTGTTTCACCACCTTCCTGTAGGGCATTGATGTCCATCTTTTTTTCAATCAATAGTTTTACTATTTGAACATTGCCTCCCCAGGCTGCATCGTGCAACATTTTGTTACTAGATTTATCTTTTATGTCTAATAGATCGGGATAATTCTCAACTAAGTACACACAAACTTCAAACTTCCCATTGAGACAAGCTACATGCAAGATAGTTTTACCATCATTTGACAAGGCATTGAAATCCATTCCTTTTTCTATAAGAAAAGAAACAATTTCTACACTTCCTCCACCGCAAGCTGAATGTAACGCTGTCCATCCGTCATTGTCCCTTATCTCCAATAAATCTGGAAAATGATTGACCAAATGTTGACACATCTCCATTTTACTAGAACGACAGCAAAGATGTAAAATTGTTTCACCACCTCCATGTAGGCCTTTTATGTCCATCTTTATTTCAATCAATAGTTTTACTATTTGAACATTGCCTCCCCAGGCTGCATCGTGCAGCACTGTGTTACTAGATTTATCTTTTAAATCTAATAGATCGGGATAATTCTCAACTAAGTACACACAAACTTCAAACTTCCCATTGAGACATGCTATATGCAAGAGAGTTTTACCATCATTTGACTGGGCATTGAAATCCAGTCCTTTTTCTAAAAGAAAAGAAACAATTTCAACACTTCCTCCACTACAAGCTGAATGTAACACTGTCCACCCCTTAGAGTCCTTTATCTCCAATAACTCTGGAAAATGATTGACCAAATGTTCACACATCTCCATTTTACCAGAACGACAGCACTGATGTAAAACTGTTTCACCACCTTCCTGTAGGGCATTGATGTCCATATTTTTCTCAATCAATAGTTTTACTATTTGAACATTGCCTCCCCAGGCTGCAACATGCAACACTGTATTACTAGATTTGTCTTTGACGTCTAAAAGATGAGGATAATTCTCAACTAAGTACTTAAAAAGATCTATGTTGCCACCTAGGGCTGTGTAATGGAGAATATTTTTACCATCATTGTCACAGACATCCAGTAATTCTGGGTATCTGCTCAACAGATATTCACTCATATCAAAATGGCCATTTTTGCATGCATTGTGCAGGATAGAACGACCTGTATTATCTGTTTTATATCCCTTTGGTTTATTGTCACTTGATATATGTAATATATTTTCATTCTCAAAGAGGTTAAGCATATATTCAAACATATCTATATTCCCACTGAAAGCTGCCCAATACAAAAGATTATTTCCATCAAATTCTGTGTGTTCCTGGAGTAATTTAGGATATGTATCCAGGGGCGTAGCTTCCATTGTGGCAATGAGGCAACTGCCTCACTAGATTTTTCAGCAACACCCCTTTCCCGTAATTTAATACATCACAGAAAATAATTTATTTGTTTTTTTAAAAAAACGTAACTGTTTTTATTTATCATTTAGACAAATCAAGAAATTATTGTACTTTCATATCAGTATGTTCTAGTTCAAAATTCACGAGATCGGGTTCTATTTTTAAAACACAGGCACTTGTTTTTGTAATAAAGTTTTGACCCATAGTACATCGTCGCTAGCCAAGGGTTTCTGATATGCAGAAACCCTTGGCTAGCGAAGATGGCCATAGTATACTAAACTAGAGGTACTGTGAGCGATGAGCTCATTAAATGATACCCCCCGCCTCCCACATGGTTATAACTGGTGAAAAATGTTTTCCTGTTGCCGGGAAACCCAAATATGTGTCGGATCAAAAAGTAAAATAGGAGGTGCACAATGGCAATATGTAATAAAGATTCTGTGAAAGTTTCATCAAAATTCATTCAGTGGTATGAGAGGAGTTGCGGATAAGAGATGGGTACCCCAAAGCGTAACAGACGGACGGACGTACAGACGGACGGACGGACGGAATTAATGATTACTATATACCCTCCCGCTTTTCAAGCGGGGGGTATAATTATTATACTATGGGTCAAAACTTTTTTACAAAAACAAGTGCCTCTGTTCTAAAACGTAAAAGTATTTTTTGTGGAAAAATAATCGGCAAACAAAGGGGGATAGACGCAGTTGACATCCTTTCTAAGAAAAGGAAAAAATGAAAGTCTAGAAATTATAATGAACGTCATAAATTTCAAAAACCCTGTAAGCTAGTGAATGATTCTTTTACTAGTATCTTTCCAAATGATGCCAAAATTAATATATAGATATTTTAAAAAATGTGTTAGAAGTTCGAAAAAAGCATTTTTTTAAACCTTAAATACGTTTAAATTCAGTACGTACATGCAGTGTCATCTGAACTGATGAATGCTAAAGTTATAAAACTGGGGGGGGGGGGGCGAAATTTCTGCCCAGGACAGTATTATTTTTACATTTTAAAATCCACCCAGACCCCCGGCCACAATAGTTTTGCCTCACTAGAAATTAAAGTCAAGCTACGCCCCTGTGTATCAACAAGGAATTTCACCATGTCTAGCCTACCATCCTGACAAGCACAAGTAAGAACAGTGTGACCATTGTCTCGATCTTTTTCATAAGGATCAAAGCCAAACTTTAACAGAAGATTAAATGCATGTTTGTCTCCAGAACTTGCTGCAGACTGTAATACATTGGCGCCTTGATCATTTTTCTTATCTACAAGAAATGGATATTTTTCCAAAACTTGTTCAATTAATTGTGTTTGTTGCATAAAGCAGATTTCATGAAGTAAGCTATGTCTTATATTAGTCCAGACAGGATGCAAGGAAAATGAAATTTGATGAAGATCAACAAACTCACAGACTCGGAGCAATAACTCTATATTGCCACTTTGTACAGCATGAAAACACGTTTGAAGATCACAATCCACACCTGATGACAAAATGAGATTAACAATATCTGGTTGATTTTTTAAGCAAGCGGCGTTAATTGATCTGTATCTTTGTCTTTTTTCTGAATTTGGAAGTAAATATTCAACCCATCGCTTATTTCCCACCCTCGAAAAATGCACAATCATTGAATCACCGTTGGTATCACGGCATGTTTTAAACTTCGAAGTACATTCTTCAGATTGTAATACGTGCTCATGGAAGTTTGAATCATTCCATAAATCCAGTGATGATATGGAAGAATATCCATTTACATACCTTTCTTCAATTATATTTGCAATGCGGCGGGCAACATATTTAAACAATCTTTGTCCTATGTGGACCTGTGTACTTTTGGGGATTTTACATGTCGTCAATGTCATAAGTAAGGACGGATAACACTTTCGGATCATTTTTTCAGGATTAGATATAAACAAGACACTGAAAAGGGATTCCTGTACTGAACTATGGGCAAACTTATAAGTATTTTCTATCGTGTCATGAGTTATTAAAAAACCTTCAAAACACAAAATACTGTTTTGGAAATCGTTAACATACGAGTTTTGTAGACCTACAAATTCTAAGGAGTCGCGCTTCAGCTCTAAATCCATTTGGGAATTATGAATTAATTCTAACTCTACTTTTCCTCCATTCAGAAGAAGATAAACTAAAACAGCGGTTTTTACAGTTCTTTTTTTCAATATGGTTTTGAAGTAGTCTCTCATAAACGTCATTGCATTTGGTAAAAATGCAATGACGTTTTGTTTAAAATCTTCATTGCCTCTTGCCAATTTACAACATTGTGGAAACCCTATAGCTAGTGGTATTTCAGATATTTTATAGATGAGCTTTTTGTCTTTTATGTATTCAGATAGTTCATAGTTTTCTGATAGCTGTAGGATCTCGTCCGTTAGCAATGCATTTTCCTTGCTTGATAGGTCAACCAAGGACGACATCAAAAATTCGTTATCGCACTCGTTTTGTACAAGTTCCTGATATATATCATTTCTTAAAGCAAATATCAATCTGTTAGATTTATTATCAATGTCATTTTCAATTAAAACCTTTGTCATATCTGCTCTAGCTTTCCATTCTTGAACATCATCGCTGGACAAAGTAAACTCTCCAAATAAATTGTCAATAAATACCACTATACCACCCCCCGCTGATATGTTTTCATACAAGTCTGTCAACCTGTAAAGCTGAAGAGGAGATCTTCCTTCATCCATCAGTTCTTTCATTAACATCTTGGCGATTGTGGTTTTTCCAGTTCCAGGGTTACCCTTGATGACGACATAACCGTTTTTGTCCAACAATTCCTTTGCTCTTTCAAACGCACGAGTTCTTACAAAAAAATGGTCCATGGCTTCATAATGTTTTTGTATCATTCGCTTGGTTGTTTCTGAAAAGAAATAATAGATATCTTTAAGGAAGATAGACTTGATGTCTCGAAGATTTCAGAATTTGTTTACTTATCAATGAACGGTGTTATGCTCAATGAAAAGTGAATAATTGAAATCAAGGGTGTTTGAGCTTCAAAGATAATTGATCATTTTGGACTACAGGAATAATATTGTATACAAGAGCCCCATGGGCCACATCGCTCACTTGGGCACTATCCCCAGGACAAAAACAATTTAGTAAATGCCTAAGTGGTCCCGATCCTAAAAAGGGGGTATGATTTGAGCAAACTGTGCAAACTTGAATGAATACTAACTAAGGATGCTTACATATTTGTTTGACGAACTCTGACTTTTCCCTATTAGTTTGAACTTTTATTGTGGTCCCACCCAACCGGGGGTAAGGATGCGCGGGTCATGATTGTAACAAATCTGCATCTAAACTACCCGAGGATGCTTCCATATAAACAAGACCAATCATCTTTTTTGTTCTTGAGAATATTTTTCATATAAAGAGTACTCCTGTGTAAAATTGTGATCGTCCATAGTGGCCCCATCCTAACCCTAGGAAGTCATGATTTGAACAATCTTGAATCTTCACTACAACATGGATGCGTCCATATAAATATGATTTTTTTCCTTTATATATCTATGTAAAACTTTGATCGGTCATTGTGGCCTGCCCTAGCCCCGGGGGTCATAATTTGAACAATCATGAGTCTACACCACCTGAGTATGCTTCTCAAGAAAATTTTAAAAGACGTTTCCTTTACATCCTTCTGATCGTCCATTCTGGCCAAACCCAACCCCCAAGAGTCATGATTTAAATAAACTTGCATTTATACTACCTGAGGATATTTCCACATAAGTTTTATTTTTCCTGGCAAAGTGTTTCTTGAGATGAAGATTTTTTAGAATTGCATTTTATTTTTCAGAAATTCTTAATTATCTCGCCCTGTAATGGGGCATAGTGCTTCATTTGAACAAATTTGAATCCCCTTTATCCAATGACATTGTGAAAAGTTTACAGACAGACAGGCGGACAGACAGAAAAACGCCGGAAAAAATGTGTTCAGAAAAGATCACTTGCTCGTGTTACAATCATTTAATAATAAATTTCACAGAATTGACACAAATGATCAATGATATATAAATCAACGAATTCATAAAAAAATTAAATAAGAAAATAAATCCTCCACACTTTTCAATAAGTATGTTAATGAAAGGAACACAGATATTAATTTCTTTCATTATGTCATTAAGGCTTTAATGTCGTATTGAATCTTATTTAAGCCTTTACGACCAGGAAGTTTTCCAAAACATAAACAAAATGTAATATAAAGAGCGTGTCTCAGAGAAAAATATGCAGAATCTAAAAAATCGTCCGGGGGGGGGGGGGGGGGGGGGATCTACAAAACACAAATTAAATTGAGTGCCTATAATTTTTTTTCAAATTCATGATATTTTGAAAATCATGAATATTGATTGATAAAAACTCATAAAGTTTATACTGAAAATTTTGGCATGTACATGTACTAGTATATGATAGCTAGCTAGTACACATGGTTTATTATACACAGCTAATTGTGCCACGTACGTTTCACGTATGTTAAACGTATGTGACACATACGTGACTTCACGTACGTTTTCCATGAAAAAAATACCACGTACGTTATACGTATGTTTTCACACGTGTGAATATCATGCGTGTCACGCATGTTAAATGTACGTATTGCCCACCATACGTTACACGTATATTGCACACGTACATTACTCATACGTTTCACATATGAATAACGTACGTGCAACGTGTGTGTAACATATGTTTCTCATAACATGTTTAATGGGTTTATTATTTGCACTGCTCATATTGTAAATGTATAAATACCATACAAAAATGTGTCAAACCATGGTTAAACACGTTTTGAACATTTTTTCACATATATTGTAAACGTTGGTGAAACAAAAATTACGTGCAATTTAAATATTCAATTCATGCATTTGACATAATTTCTCTCAAAGGCTTATTTTCTTTTCATCTGTTGAATGATCCACTTTCTGGTTATCCTTCACTTTAAATTTCCTGATCCTATTTGCTCTTGAAGCAATCACAACAAAAGACATATTTAGATTCAAGCCAAATTTAATGTTGAGTATGTTAACATCAATTCATTCTTCTCCAGTTCTCTTTTATCTGTAAAGAAAAAGAAAATATTAAATGCATGGAATAAGGGAAAACCCATTTTTCCCCTGAACATTATTATTATCCACATATTAATCTTGGTTTATTCTCTGTAGAACTTAAATATAAATACTAAATAATTAATTTTTTAGTATTCATAACAATGATCTTTTAAACTATTTTTTTCACTATATCCTCAAATATCTACCTTATAATTTTCTTATCTAAAATTGTTTACATAGCATTGATTTGTGGGTGAACTCGGAAAAAACTGTACATACTGATACCCCATATGCCAGCTTATGGTTCAAGTTTCCCAAGTGCAAGTCAAACTCCAAAGTCAAGGTCAAAGGTCAAAATTGTTGACATCCAAGGACGGACTTGTCACAAAGAGTAAATATGTGAAATATGAAAGCCCTACTACTATCAGCTCAAAAGTTATGATCAAAGTTAGTTTTTTAACAGTGGGTTAAACTAGAAGTACAAGGTCAAATATTTTAATTTATACCCATTGAAAGGTTTTGTCACAATAAATATACAAGTGAAGTATATGAAAGCCCTTGCACCAACTGTTCAAAAGTAAAGGCCAAGATTCAAGTTATAAAACTTTCTTAAAAGTGAATCATACTCCAAGTTCAATTCAAAAGGTTAATTTGGTGTACCAATACAAAAGTATTGTCACTATGAATACCCAGGTCTATGAAATATGAAAGCCATACTTTCACCCACTAAAATAATATGGCCAATGTGAAAAGATTTTGCAGACAGACAGACAGGGTAAAAGCTATATAGATGTACCCCAGAATCTTTGATAACAGGGGTACAAAACTTATTCCTCATTGTCATGAACTTAGTCTTTTTGCTTTCAACTTAGGAGCATTATATAGATTTTCAATGAATCAATGCATTTTCAGTTTATGATTAATTAATAAAGCTGTGCCTTTACATCTGATCCACCTACCCTGGGGCTATATGAATTTCATAATTTCATTAGGACTCTATGCTGATTAAAATCTTGCTATTAGTTTGCTTGATGTCCAATTAAAAAAAATACAATTTTGAATAATTTTGATGGGTTACCCCCCCCCCTTTAGTTTGGGTGGTGGTGGAGGGAGGAGGCAGTAAATGCTAAAATTTTACCAGACAGAGCACAGTGTATGACGATGGACAACAAGAAACCCAAGGGCCTTGAATCGCTCTTCTAATAAATTGTACAATCTATCACTAGTATTTGATGCCTCTATGTTTATAAGACCCAAAAAACATCAATCAAGAAAGTTCGATGATTCTTAGCCAGTTAGGACTGAAGATATTTCAATAGAGCTATAAAATACCATAAGTAGATCATGTTGACCTACTTTTTGGTTGACATTCTCCAAAGATGCCTCAACTGACAAAGTTTAACAATTCTAGGCCAATATAGACTTCTTTTGGTTTTATCTTCCTGATTATCTCCCCTTGTATAAGGTCCAAACCCTAATTTTAGTATAAATGGTAGCCCTTGGGCCAAGGATGCCCTGTGAAAATTTGACAATGATTGTCCAAGGGGATCTTGAGTTATGACCCACATTCTAACAAGAGGCCCAGGGGCCACATCGCTCACCTGAGCAATTTGCTAGGAAAAATCACACATCAGATCAGAACTGAAAGTTTGCTGGGGGAGGGCTTGAATTTTACCCCCCCCCCCACCAGGGGGTCATGATTTGAACAAACCTGAATCTACACTACCTGAGGATGATTCCCTATAAATATCACTAAGCATGGCTTTAAAGTACTTGAAAACAAGATAAAAGGTTTCCCTAGATATTCCTATGTAAAACTTTTATTGGCCATTTTGGTCCCACCCTACCCCTGATTTGAACAAGCTTGAATCTACACTATCTGAGGATGATTCCATATAAGTTTCATTTTCCTGTCTCAATGGTTCTTGAGAAGAAGATTTTTCCAATATATTCCTATGTAAAACTTTGATTGGCCATTTTAGCCCCACCCTACCCCCGGGGGTCATGATTTGAACAAACTTGAATCTACACTACCTGAGGATGATTCCACATGAGTTTCATCTTTCCTGGTCCAGTGGTTCTTGAGAAGAAAATATTTAAAGATTTTTCTTGTATATTCATAAGTAAAACTTTATTCGGCCATTTTGGCCCCACCCTACCCCTGGGGGGTCATGATTTGAACAAACTTGAATCTACACTACCTGAGGATGATTCCACATGAGTTAAATCTTTCCTGGCCTAGTGGTTCTTGAGAAGAAGATTTTTTAAAAATGCCATTAATTTTTTTCTAATTCATAATTATCTCCCCTTGGAAAAGGGCGCAGCCCTTCATTTGAACAAACTTGAATCCCCTTTACCCAAGGATACTTTGTAGCAAGTTTGGTTGAAATTGGCCCAGTGGTTCTTGAGAAGAAGATGGAAATGTGAAAAGTTTACAACAACGACAACGCCAACGACAACAACGACGCCAACGACAACAACGGACAAATTTTGATCGGAAAAGCTCACTTGAGCCTTTGGCTTAGGTGAGCTAAAAAGTTTGTGCACACCGCACAAATGGCCGTAGCATTAGCTCTTTGAGCCTTTGGCACAGAAGAGCTAAAAACAGTATACATGTACACCTATATACTGGCTATGAGGACAATAGCTAGTTTATCATCCCCCAAGACAACAACTATTCCCCAAGATGCAGACGAGGGAAATAGTTTGCTGTTGAGGGAGATGATAAACAAGCTATTTTCCGAATAGTAAGTAAATAGGTGCTTTATTATGGCACCTGATCCCACCTCTGATGTTTCAGGGGTCCGTGTTTGCTCTGCTCTTATTTTGTATAGTTTTATGGACTTTGAGATTGAATACTGTTCGTTATCTCCATATCCTTCTATTATATATTGAAGCTGACTTAATTATATGTAAGGTCCGATCTGGATAAAACCAGAAGAGTTACGAAATGAAAAATTGAACTTACCTTCTGCATTAATCTTTAGCTTGGCATGGACTCATCTGTTTTTGTTTGTGTTCCAAGTGTATACTTTTTGTCCTTGAGGTTAAAAAAAAAACATATGTAAAAAAAAAAAAAAAAAATAGACGACTTTCACATTAAATTTTTCAAAAGTTATTCCCCTTTGCAGGGTCAATCCAGCGTAAGGCCCTGTTTTCCCTCTGTTACCTTACCAAATTTATTGGTCAGTACGTATCTTAAAAATAAAATCTGTAATGAATATCGTTCATTAAGATTTTCATGTTGCCCCAAACTTCGGCAATACAGGTACAGATCTAAATTGTCCAATAACGTTTGAAAATTGAAAATAATAACAGGTAACTTACAAAGGACAAAGTGGGAAAAATGAGAGTTATGCCGACAAGGGAGATAACTCTTAGTAGTGTGAAATTCGTCAAACTCGATTGCATTTCAAATTTTACATGAAAAGCTTCAAGTTACATGTAGTATTTGCAAGTCTAAACGCAATATGATAAGAAAATCTTATTCCTTTTTAAAAGTATTACCATATTCAAGATTATACTGGTTAAACTTTAATAATCTGTTTTGGAGTCCATTCTAGGCATATAGGTGTTTACAAAGATGAGCTTCAGTCACCATCCTGGAATGCATATCTAAAATCACATAAAAATTCTTAATCTCAAACACATTTTATATTCATAAGGATTAAAAGGGCAGATATGTAAAAACAAAACTGTTAAACCATTATTGCACTCAAAGATAATAATTTCTTTTACCATCTTATGTGATGTTTTAAATACTGTAAAAAGAAATAAATTCAGTGAGTGGAACTTTACATCAAATTGTTGTTGTTTCTTTTTTTTTTTTTTTTTTTGCATCTTATTTGTTAAGTTAAAAACATTTTAAATAAATACTTAATTGTTATAACAGTATTTTTAAATTTCACCTGCATTTTGATATTACGTGCCCGTGTTGATGGATACACCTGGGTGCTGACCAAGACAGCTCACTGGCTCAACATGGTCAGTATTTCCTGTTTTTGGTAACCCACGTCTCCATTATGTAATACACTGAAAAAAAACACCCCCCTTAGTTTACATGCAACACACAGTCATAAAGTAATTAAATAATTGTTGATTTTATGCATTCCTCACCTTTATCTAGGCCCTAGAACTTGCAGACGTCAGACTTCTCTTTCCAGTGACGTCACTGGTAACGTACATGTAATACATAAATGAAATGGAGGCTGGAAAATTCCGGAAGGTATATTTTATAAGTTTTATACGGACGGTACCCACTGTATATTTGATAATTATCTAGATGAATCATTTACTCCCTTTTGAGATTTGTTGTGAAATTATCGTGAATTTCTTTCTTTTTTTAAAATATATTTTTGCTCTTGAATTCGGATTGATTATATCTACCGATGACCGAGTTCAATTTTATGTGCCTCTACCGATATCCGATACATATGACGAGATTGGAGAACTTTGTTAACTGTTTTTAGAGTAAATTTTAAACCAATGCGAACTGATAACATTTTGCCAGATATGAAAGTGGACGTAAGGTAAACAATGTGAAATAAATTGAAACATTAAATACGCACACGACAAGTCAACAACGCACACACATGTATGCTTCAGTTGTGATTGGGTTTAACCAAATATCATAATAATGTTTATGTCAAAAAAAGACATTTTAGATTTTAAAATATTATAATTATTAAAATACATGCAACTTCTGATCTAAGGACCCGTTATACATGTTATAAGAAGGATTTTATAGATGGTCATATCACTATGATTGCTCTTCTTCCTGAATAACAGGTTAAGCCCTAAGTGCCTATTGATTGTTATGTTAACTAATATCTTGATTAGTTCTCCAAAACGTAAACTATTAAGGAAAAATAGTTAGTTGTGGAAGTCAGCCATACTTTTATACAAAGAGTTCCTGTATTTTAAGTGAAATTATGTAGTTCCTAGCAACAATAAATGTTTAACGCATTGGTTTTTTTTTCTCTTTATATCAAAAACTAAATGATAATTTGATTAAAAAATTAAATTTGAAATAAAATAAAAAGGATTAGATTTATAGTCAACCTACATTTGACATACATGTATGTAATAATATGAATTTACAAAATATACAGCCTTCTCATTCTCAAACATAGGTTTTCACACACATGTAAAACACCTTTTTAAATGTATATGTAACATGTGCCTCATAATACACATACTATATTCATCAACATATGTAATGAGAGCTTTAGAATACAAGTAAACCATAATTTATATATGTACATTAGTATATTTAATGTGTGGTTTATAATGCACATAAACTATATATATACATGACATTTGTGCTTTACAAAACACATGTAAACCATGAGTTCATTAACGTACGTGTAACATGTGGTTGACTATACACATGTAAACCATGTGTTCATTAACGTAACTGTAACATGTGGTTGACTATACACATGTAAACCATATGTTAATTAACGTATGTGTAACATGTGGTTGACAATATACATGTAAACCATACGTTTATTAACGTACGTGTAACGTATGGTTGCACATAACACATGTTACACGTACGTTTTAAATACGTAACACATACGTGTATTCCAAACATACGTTTAACGTACGTTATGTGAAACGTATGTAGTCACACATATGTTATACGTACGTGGTACCACATAAGTGAAACGTATGTTTGAAATACACGTATGTGATACGTACATTTCACATACGTGATACATGTGTTATGTGCAACCATATGTAACACGTACGTGGCACAATTAGCTGTGTAGAGGTTTAAAATATCTCCCAAATATTTTATAATTCCTCTCTTGAATTATACATTATTTACAATTGATTAAAATTCTTTCTACAGTTGTCCATGTGCTGCTGTATTTTTTGGATAGAACCAAATCATAAAAGAAGACCCTGAATCAAATTCATATGATATAGTGTAGGGCTAGACATAATTATATTTTTTATTGGTCACTTAGGCTATCACCTTGATTTTTGAATAACTAAATACTTTTATTATCCCACTGGGCCAGTTGATTTTAAAAGAAAACTATAACATGTATAATTTATCGTACATGTAATACCTGTTTATATTATGATACTTTGTAATAGTGCAACATACATGTAAAAAAAAAACAAACAAACCAAAAGTCTCTATTGAGACTGTAGCTCTATTGGTTTGTATTTATAACAAACAGGCAAAGGAAGAAAAAGTAGCAGTTGGGTCTTGAAACTTTTCAACTAATGATTCTTGATAAAACCTCTTTTTGTGGCAAGATTGCAGTAAAACCACAACTGTAGGAGCTGCTTATATAAAATGTTACATTTTCAATTTTAGTTATTGTGGCAAAATCATTCATCGATATTAAAAAAACAAAACAAAAATAACAATTATGTTCCTCTGTGTAGTCTATTTGCATGCCATATTATATTATAATCAGACTAAAACTGTATTTGGAATAGTCTTTTTGAAAAGTTTTTTGAAAGTATTTCACATCAATTTCTTTTTTTTATTAACCATGGCAACTCCGTTCATCAAAATAAAAAAAAACATACATTATCTTTTAATTTTTAATTTAACCGTTTACAAAAGTCACATGTCATGATATATGATATATTGGGATTGTGGTAGGTAAACATGGTTAAGTCAAAGTAAAGTTTTTTTTCAAGAGGTCAGTTATCAAATTTATTCTAAAAGCACTGGGGCACTTCTTTTCATGGTGCAGTACGAAATCAATGAAGTACTTAAAGTGGTTGTTTTCCAACATCATATTTAATCATCCTATCATTATGATTGATTGATTGACTGTATATATTGTTTAACGTCCCTCTCGAGAATTATTCACTCTTATGGAGACGTCACCGTTTGCCGGTGAAGGGCTTCAAATTTAGACCTATACTCTGCACTCAGGGCCATTGAGCAGTGAAGGTTCTTTATCGTGCCAGCGCCTACCGTGACACGGGACCTACGTTTTTAAGATCATATCCGAAAGACCCGTGACTTTCCCTTCTGATGCCGAGCACTTGGTGAAGGAACAGTCACTACCTATTTTTACATCTTAGTTTTAACGTAGCGCCGGGAACGAAAATGGTACTTGGACCTCCCGATCATAAAGTGAACGTTCTACCACCAGGCTACCGTGAACGGTCCTATCATTATGAAAAGTACATTTAATAATTAGTCTTTGAATATATCACCACTTTCATCTAAAGTAAATTGCTTATGGTGTACTTTGATTCATATTATAAGTAATACAGGGTTTTCCAAGAGAGGAGGATCTCAGGAGTGGAACTGTTTCATTTACCCAACACCTTGAGCTGAGTCCTGCTGACTGATCAAGGGAAAGATGAAGCAGCTTACAAATGAAAATTCTGCTGGAAGCACAGGGATTAATACTGAACAATACATGCATTACCTTTGTCCGGACTCATCATAACAGAAAGTATTTGCAAAATGTTGCAATCTCAAAAATCTCCTGGCAGTTGGAAATCAGTATTACAGAAATTCAAGATGAAGTATGAACACTGCATCAAATTTATATGCTACAAAATGTGAAAGCATTAGAGAGCCTCGAAGTTTATTGATACAAACAGTCAAATCAGGTAGAGTTGATGATGGAGTCCAGACAGAGCTAACAGGAGAAAGCATGGGTTTGAAACTGGAGAGCAGAAGAAAGCAATACAATTCTCCAAGAAAGAAAATGACTACTTGTGCATGATATGTGAAGAATGTGACAGAACAAAAAAATGTCCCGGTAGTGTCTCATTGGCAGATGAGCTGAAGAAAGTAACTGGTAAAAATGGTGAAAGACTTTTTAAGAAAGACGAATGGCTAAATACTTCACAAGTAAGAGGATATATTGTCTCATATATTTATCAATAAAATATAAGAGTGTTTTTTTTTGTACCTCCCTCTGTCAAAAATCGATTGTTGTCTGAAATATGTTTTGAAGATGTTTTTATTGATGAAAATGAAAAACTTGCAGAGATTGTTTCCACTTTTGACTCAAATTATATGTTGTTCAAATGATTGGGTTGGTAAATCAATGATGTGCTTACTTCTGTAAATATTCAGTATGTTTATATATGCATGTATATGTTTTGAAATTAAAGGTCCCAATATACTGAACCATAGAACTAATTTTGACAATCTGACATTATGATCACAATTTTCACGTACATGTACATTAAAATGTTATAATTTAATTCTGGTTGTAAAAGATTTGCAATTTGATGGAACAGAGAATTTTTATTTATATATACAAACATTGTTACCTAACCTGCCTACTTCAAAATATGGTGTGTATCAAAGAAAGTATCAATCATAACTAGGGCTATTTGTAACGGGAACCGTTACAGATGTTCCCTAAACGCTCCCTAACTCCCTTTGGTGCCTAATAGAAAATTATCATGTATTATGTTTATCCTGCAAAAAAATTCTACATTTGAACGTCCAAAAAAGCCATTTGCGAAAGATTTAGGCATATCTCTGCCATTGAAACTATGACGCCCTGGCGTAAACATTGCAGTATACATAACGTCAAAATGCTTTTAGAACGTCGGAAAACATACACGAGGCATATTAGAGCAGTGACCGGATAAAGCTTTGGTTTATTAGGTTACCTTCACTAGGTCAATGCAAGGGGTAGTTGCAGGATAAATTGTTTTTACATTCAACTTATTTCTAATAAGACGAAAATTTTATTCGCTGTCGACATAATAGCTCGTTAAACGCGAAAACCATGTAAAATAAATCTGTGTGATTTCTTCTCTCTCATTCAGCAGTCATGACAGTTCACGCGTGACGTAGTGAGACTTGCGCTTGAAATTTCAAATAACTCAATAAAGCAAATGTCGATGTTTATAAATAATTGTGATGAATAGTAACACTAAGCATCGATGAATAAAACCATTCCATGTGTCATTTTTTTCATCAACAGCGATATTTAGGCTTAAAATAAGGTAATTCCAAAACATCCGCTCCCTATAGAATG